GCGTGCAGATGTCCGTCTAATCCAGGTTAATGGCTGTGTAGAAAAATTGATTTATCACGGCTCTTATATTTATCGACATTGCGTGATCGACATTGATTGAAGCACAATACATAATTAGCGTAGCACCTCTGTGGACGGCTGTCCACTATGCCTACAAAGTAACATGTAGCCTCTAATACAGATTTCAGTCTACTCGGCTAATTCAGTTGCCTACGCAACTAACGTTATCACGACAGGGGATTTGTCGGCGAGGGGCGGTAAAACGCACCCTGGACGTGGCGAGTATATAAGGCAACCTGTTGACACGGGAGCAATCTTAGCGGCCCATTAATATATATGACGATTTGCGAAGTGTACACGTCTATACGTCGAATTCTTTCCATATAGCAGTGTTGCTGAATTCAACCATTAGAGGGTGACCATTAGAGTAGCGTCAGCAGAGACTCGAGCTGCGAAATACTTGAGCGAGACAACTCAGCAGTGTGTAGAGAGCGTCCCTCCCCCTCCTCCTCCTCCTCCTACTCTTCTTCCCCTCCTCCCCCGCTGTCAATACGTCGGCACTGTAGGTGCGCGCTCGTGGTGCGTGATGTTCGGGAGCAGCAGGGGTAAGAGAGACGAGCAGCTCGAAGCGAGCAGGAATTGGAGAAAGCTAGCGCTGGTCGTGAAGAGTTGTCCGTCGTTGAAGCCATACGAGGAGGTGAGTGTGACAGGGGCGTCAGCTCGGTAATGAGCTAACACTGGGGCGCGTTGTCGACGATCCCCATGAGCAGTGTGCGGCTTCACGCTTATGACGTGCGCCCCTGCTGCCGCTAATTGTTTCCAGCGTTCGTAACTATAATGATGGTTCGCATCGTCGAGTGAAGGATAACTGCTGGATTTACTGAGGCGTTGTATTTAGTCAGTATCAGCTGTTGACGAGTCCGTCCAGCTTATAATTACATGCAGTATAGTATTTATGTATATGTGTATGCGTAGCGTATATACACGCGCGCGCACGCACGCACACACGCGGACGCCCACGCGCATGTACGCATGCACGCACGCACGCACAAACGCGCGCGCACACACACACATGCACGCACGCGCACACACATAATCACACTAACACACACATGCAGCACTCGCACACACGGGACGTGTGTTGTTTTCCCACTACCACACACTGGTCACGCACAACATACCAACGCGCCACACACCAAACGCGCCGCAGCCGCGCGGCACACGGGTGTTTCTTGGTTGCGGATTCACACAGCGTCTCAACCCAGCTAGACAGTAACCGCGCCCACAACACCAATCACACGCACGCACACACACACACACACACACACACACACACACACAAACACACACACACACACAGACACACATACGCACGCACAGTTGCACACACACGTGACTTTTTGTGCACTGCATGATGCTGGGGCTGCCTAATGTTCCTGCAAATCATCAACACATTTGGCTTTTAGTGCACGCTAAATTGTATAGCCGTGACAACTGTGCAGTATGCATTTTAGTCATTCTACCCTGAGCGTAAATTTCGATGTATTACATATGACACGCACATATGTCACACAGCCACAGGTTTTTTCGAAATTCGGTTATAAATAATAACGAATAAACAAGCTGAAACCCTTTTATCTCAACGCTCAATTATGCTGCGGCTGCCAGAGTCATTTAAAAACTGCCGTACGCCATTTGCGCGTAACTAATTTCTTGGGTTTCTTCTTTTATCAAAAACGATAAGTTTATTGCCGTACTTAGAGCATATTTCTCATGTTTCTTTTTTCGAGTATAGGTTCGAGACACGATCCTACCATCTCAATTGAGATTACTGCTTGCTCTGCGTAATCCACGGCTAAGCACTGATGCGATCGGACTTGCAGAAGAATTTGTGATTAGTTGCTGTGGAATAGCCATGGGAAGTAATTTCAGCGCTGAATGTTTCCCTGCTGACAGCGTATAGGCTCTTGTTAAATGCTATATTATAATATATAGCATTCATGGGAGAGACGGAGAGGATTTGTCGGCGAATTTTCAAGTGCGTTTACTGCATAATGGCGGCTGCTTTTTTGTCAAGGGAAATCAAGTGTGTTTGTAGGAAGTGCATAGGATCGATGTATCAAGGTCGTAAGTGATCACACCTGCCAACGCATACCAGCACAACACGCTGTGTAAATATGGCATATCTAGACCGACAACAGCATCAGAGATCTTGGTGAAAGCCTGTGGTGTTTACGGACACGTTTACCCTTTTTTCGTCAATAGTAAGGTCAGAGGTTGCTCACTCTACTGTTCAACTCTACAACAGTCGGCAGTATTCGGCTGTTTCCCATGCAGTGAAGATTATATTATTGATAGGACTCATAATTAGTCAAGAATAATTATGGTCATAATTAAGTGTATGGAAATATCAAGCAGCTCATAATCAACTTATATTAACCCATATACCCATACTAGCACGGTAGGGATAAGCAAGAGCAAGACGAGCGCGCTTACAAACGCTCACGCACGCACACACGCACGCACACACGCACGCACGCACGCGTGGTGTACATTATAGTGTACATTCTAATCGTTCTTGCTGGCTTGTTACGGTGCTACGCGGTGCTACGCGGTGGTATGTTGTGGTGCTACGCGCGGTGTTGTGGTGTGTGTACGGTGCGGTGGTGTGTGTGTGTGTGTGTGTGTGTGTGTGTGTGTGTGTGTGTGTGTGTGTGTGTGTGTGTGTGTGTGTGTGTAGGTGTGTGCGTGTGCTTCTAGCTCAAGGCCCGTCACGGACATCTTCACACGCTGCTAGCTATCTAAATACAGCAGCAGTTTTCACGCCTCGCTTCGTAACATGTTGCCGCCTATTGTAAAGCGAAGCCGATAGAGGAAAATGTACAAGACCGCCCTTTCCCCTCTGAGCCTTTCTAACCTCTACCCCTCCTCCCCTCCCCCAATATCCACTCTCCCATCTCTCAGCAACCTCTTCCTACACCCCAGCCCGCTCCCCTTTCCTCCAACCCTCTTTTCCCCTCTCCTCAGCCACATACATATATACATATATGACATGTATGACATATATATATGT